AGAGATGTAAATGGACGATTTGGTGTTTCTATATACGCACATCCATTAATAACATTTCGACACGCCATGCCCATGATCTGTTACTTGTAATTCTGTGCATTTCGTTTGAGAAGCCTAGTTTCAAGCCTTTTCTGAGTTTTCTCACTATAACTTGCTTTAGGCCACCAAGTTCACCCGTTCAAGTATATTTAGTCATTTGGAAGCTCTTCTATAGCCATTATTGATCTTGAGAATATTGAGTATACTACCTATAATGGGGGGCTTAAACAGTGATTTAGGCTCTTCTTCCCTGTATAGGTTCTTCATAATTTATTAATAAGATTAGCTAGATCATCCTCTACGATGATTGATTATATTTCTACTAACACTCCAGAAAGGGTGGTTTGCTCTGGTGTATCTCATACTAGCATAAGCAATCATAGTCATATATACGCTTTCCGCAAGCTTTTTGTTGGTGCGCCTTCTATAGATGATACTCTACCGAATATAGACACTACTAGAAAGTCTATATAGAAATTTTAGAAGGTTTGATTCTACTGAATTCGAGAAGATATTAGTCTAGGGAACTGGAACTAGGGAGCTCTCGAAAAACTTCCACTTCGTGCATTAATGAGTTGGATTTGGGTGGTAACCAAGGTAAGGACCTTAACGAAATTGCTCAGAAATGCATTCAGCGATTACTTTTCTACTATTGGTCAAAAACTTGCAGATAAAACTAATTATTCCGATGTTTGAGATACGTCCCATTTTGACTATCTATATATAAAAAAATTATAATAAAAAAATTATAATCAAAACAATGCCACCTGTCTAGTGAAGGGAACTAGTAGTTCTAACGTGTTTGTTCTGTTATCTGAACTAAGCCAGTTTAAAGTGACCGGTGTAGATAAAATATCATCTAGATTACGTGAATGTCCTGATTTATTTGCCGAATCTCTTTGCATTGGTAGATTTTCAATCGTTCTATTGCATCGGGTATATTTGCGAACGATTGGTAATGTGCTAAGGTATAGTTCCAATATGAAAAGAGGAGAAGCGGGTTGTCTGGACAAGTATCGTCCTGCAATTTCTATTATTCCTGTTGTTGGAAAAGTATTCTTAACGGATAATATATGACCAAATCTATTTATTTCTTCGGGAGAATAACCTCTTAACTAATTGTCAGTCTGGGTTTCGTGGTTTACGCTCTACTGTAACCGCTCTTCTCGAGGCCATCAACAAATAATTAGACATATAAAATTGACCATGGAAAAGTGAATGCTGTTTTGTTTATTGATTCTAAGAAAGCGTTTGATACGATTGATGATAAAACACTTCTTGATAAACTAGTACATGCATCTGACATTGAAAGAGTTGCAGGTTATAGGTTTAGGTGCTATCTCAGTAATCGCTATAACAGAGTGCTTTGTTAATTGTTGTTTGTCGAGAAAGAGCTTTTTAGTGCAATGTGGTGTTCTCCAGGGAACTATCTTAGATCTTCTTCTATTTTTGATCTACATGTTACATGAATGATCTTACAAATTGCCTTATCCATAGTTAGAGACGTATGTTTGCAGACTTACTCTTGCAAGTAATGATTCACGATATTGAAACTAATTTTAGATTAGTTTCATTAACATTAGCAAGATCTTGCTAATGTAAGTTAGTAGTTGGCAGTGAACAGACTTACTCTCACCAGACTTACTCTCACCAGACTTACTCTCACCAGACTTACTCTCACCAGACTTACTTTCACGACAAAGAATTAGTACTCTCCACTCTACTCCCTTTTTTAACAATTAATAGCGGTTCAATTATGCAAGTATTTCACAGAAAGTCGTTAGGCCTATATATATATATATATATATATATATAATTATATATATATATATATATAATAATCTATTATGTAGAAGAGAACTTGTCTTGGAAAGTTCATGTCGAGAATGTCTATAAAAAATGTAAACTTCGTAATTTTAAATTTGAATGCAGCAACTTAAGTATACGAGATCAAGCTACAAATTTATACTTTCGTCTCTCATGCACTCTAAATGCAAACGATCTGTCCGTACGAAAACGTATAGACCTAGATTGTTGCACATGGCTTGCATTTTACATGGTGCATGGCTTATGTACGTATATCAGTGTGTGTACATAACAGAAAAATATCTACAAAACAGAGAACCTTTGTGAGCTTTACTTTATTTTTTCGGCTTCCCTATCGCTATCGCAGTCGAACACAATTAACATGAGTATAATTACCTGATACAATTGTTTTTACCTATATGCATTCTTTAACCCAACATGTTATCTAGATTTTTTGAACAACTATTTTTTAGAGTGGGTGACTTTGCATAATCGCTACGCGCTAAACTTGAGGGGAAGCATAACACGACTATATAAAATAGTGGTTTGTCTGTGTAGTCCTTCAAAGAAGGCATTCGGGTCTTTCTGATACTCAGTTTCGTAATAATTATTGCAACGAACCTATGATGTAGAGCCTGTCTCTTCCAATTCGCTTTCGAGGACGTCCTTCCAACGAATACATAGTATATAATGAATGCGAACGAATTGCAGTTCTGCAGTTTAGTACCACTCGTTTTTAACAGGATGTTTCGAGCGAAAGTACCAAGGCTTTAATAAACATCTCACAGGAAGTCGTCCCCCATGCATCCGCGTGTCCCTATAGTGTTTTTACGCACATGCATGCGGGAAAAAGGTTTAAACACAATAGCGTAACAGCTGCACAAACAATAATTTTAATATCGTGGCGGAGGGTTGTTGCCGTCTTTATGCGTCTTTTTTTAAAATTCAAAGCATTACGTGGTGGGAGGCTTACATGCAGTGTCTTCTCTTCATCCGTTCGCTGCTCGGCCATACGATATACCTAATTTGAAATTGCGCCAATTTTGCATGTTCCTTATATCTCTGAACATATTCATTTATTCATAAGTAGAAAGGTATATTCTGCTGCATTTTTTTACATATTTTGAAAAAAGTAGCGTTAGACAACAGACCGTACCCCACGCGAAGGACGTTATAGATACAGGTCTGAACCGATCTCGAGCACTCTAGATGCAAACGATCTCTTCCTGGAAAAACGTAGCTATAGACCTGAATTAGTAGCTTGTATATTAGTAGCTAACATGAGAAATATATAGCCTTTAGCTACTGACTTCATTTTTCAGTCATCCCTTTAATATGTCGAATGCAATTAACAGTGCTTACCTTACTTATATATGTATATAGTATCGATCCGCTAATATACTCGATAATCTCAATAAACGATTAGCAGGTGGTATTTACTTTTAACTTTAGTGCATGGTATATTTACTTATGGCTTTTCAGGTTTTGTCTTTTCTACTTTTTCGCGGCAAATCGCTACGCGCCAAACTTGAGGGGAAGCATAACATGACTATATAAATAGTGGTTTGTCTGTGTAGTCCTTCAAAGAAGGCCGGGTCTTTCTGATACTCAGTTTTGTAATAATTATTGTAACGAACCTATAATGTATAGCCTGTCTCTTCCAATTCTCTTTCAAGGACTTCCTTCCCACGAATATATATATAGTATATATATATAATGAATGCGAACGAATTGCAGTTCTGCAGGTTAGTACCACTCGTTTTTAACAGAATGTTTCGAGCGAAAGTATACCAAGGCTTTAATAAACATCTCACAGGAAGTCGTCCCCCATGCATCAACGTGTTTCTATAGTGTTTTTACGCACGTGCATGCGGGAAAAAGGTTTAAACACAATAGCGTAACAGCTGCACAAACAATAATTTGATATCGTCTTTATGCGTCTTTTCTTAAAATTCAAAGCAATACATGTTACAAAAAAACCGCAGTATACATCTGCAAGTATACCGTTGCGAGAAATCATGCATTGCTCGACTACTTCGCCTCCTTCGAAACTTATCGCTATCGTTTTCCCCAAGTCTATTCTTATTATTGGCAAGGGATAAGGTCGTTGGTTATATAAGCTTAAATATGTCATGCATTCTTGTATTCTAGTATCGACATATAAAGGGGAGGTGGGAGGCTTACAGTGTCTTTTCTTCATCCGTTCTGCTCGGGAGAACATACGGTATACCTAATTTGAAATTGCTCAAATTTTGCATTTTCCATCTATTCCTACAAAAACGTAGCTATAGACCTGAATTAGTGGCTTGTATATTAGTAGCTAACATGAAAAATATCTAACCTTAGCTATTGACTTAATTTTTCAGTCTTTCCTATAAATTGTCGAATGCAATTAACAGTGATTACCTTACTTCCTTACTTATTACCTTACTATTACCTTACGATAATCTCAATAAACGATTATCAGGTGGTATTTACTTTTAACTTTAGTGCATGGTACATTTACTTATGGCTTTTCAGGTTTTGTCTTTCTACTTTTTCGCCGCGAATTTTTTCGCAAACCCATCACATCACCGGATTTCAGATAAGGATCAATGTTTCAACGTGATATCATCACCCCAGACGATAACACAAGACTGGAGTGTCGAAATGTTCGGTCGCGAATGTAATCTTTTGGTGCTGATTACATCAATTTTGAATTTTTGCCGTATGACTTTATTCAGGTCATGCATGTTGGAAGATCTGAAAAAGAAGCTACTTCGTGATTTCAGATAAACGGTGAATGATACTAAAAATAATAAGATTATGACATAGCCACTCCGCTGAATGGCGAAGGCGGATTCTAAACAGTAACGGGGAAATTGATATTTCGTCAAAAAACTACAATGATAATTTTTTAAAATACTCAACAGTAAACCGTCCTGGACGGCTCTTACAAATACATTACAAAAAGAACTACATATTTCAAGTGATTTCCTTACCTATTGATTCCAGGAGGAAACAACTGAGATTGTTCTTAAAAAACAAAAAATATTCGAACTGCATGCCCTCATTATATCCCAACTTACTGTATAATTCTATAGAATCTTACTAACTATATAAAAAAAAGTTGATGTGCAGTGCACAAAAAGTATCATTTAAGTAGACATATGTCCTTAAATCAAACGAAGAAATAACAAAGCTGTAGTAAAACCGAACAACTGAGCGAAGAATGATACTGCGCTGATGGTTGGAATACGGCCGAGTGAAGGAGCTGCAATAGCACGTCGACATTTTCCATTTGCTTCTCTTTCTTTTGCTTTAAACGTATCAACGCTGAAACAGAACTCGTCAGTTTCATTCAAAAGTGGTGTGGGAGGGCTGCTGGCACATGAGGGAGCTTCACCGATGGCTAATGCCATTCCCCGATTGAGATGTTGGTCGATATGACAATGCATGAACCAATATCCTGGATTATCTGCAAGGAACTCCAAAACTACATACCCCCCAGCGGGTACAATGATCACATCTTTTCGGACGGTAGTTCTGTCGACAGTAATTCCCCCAGGTGTGCTTCCTCTCCAACTTGCTGGACCACATTTCGGCACGGTAAGATCCTCGTTTGGAGCCTTGATCGTGCCGTTGTCGTAGTAGTCAGGATATGCAATCTTTGCGATGAAATACGTGTGTCCATGCATGTGGATTGGGTGTGTAATGTCCACAGGATCTTGTTTCCCCTGAGTTATTATTGAAGAGAGAACAAATCTTGTGGTGGTGCCAAAATTATTTAAATAGACCGTATGTGTGCAATATTTCGATCCAGGTTCTTTACAATCCACCGGATATATGCATTCTTGTTTAGTTCCTGTGTTTTCGACAAGAGGGATATCAGGCAAATAAAACTGCACGCCGTTTATCAAAGCTTTTGGCCAAATGACTTCAAAGTTAAAGAATGACAATTGTGAGATGTTACTAGAACTAGGAATATCCCTTCTGGTGTAGGATACAGTAATCGAAGCTCTCTAACATTATAGCAGGTCATGTAAGTGCCATCGTTAATAAAATCAGTCGGAATCAGTAGAAAGGGACAGTTCAATATTTTGCAAGGAGACAGAGCATTGCTGCAACGATCACTTTGCTGTGCAATGGTTGTGGGTACGTTTTTGCTTCCACTCTTATCCGTGTAGACAACAAACGCAAAACTTAATCCAGCTACCTCGCTGTTATTGTCATTTCACTGCGAGGTCTGAATATTGATCGGTATTTAGTTCCAGGTTTTATGCCTTTTTGCCTCCAAAATGAAATCGTACCTTTCTCCAACGTGCACTATAAGAAAATCGGTTGTAAATTTGTTCACAAGGTAACCGTCAGTTGCGATAACGTGCAATTTGTGATAATCGATAGAAATGACCAAAATGTTCGACTTAGTTGCGCCGAGAACACGAAAGCGATACTTCTGTCCGGGAACAACGAAATATTCTGAATGACTTTCATTAGCACGACGTCCTAGGATGTCTTTTGCAATTTCTTTACCATTTAAAAAGAATGACACCCTGTCATATTGTATGGGTAGTTTAGATCCATCAGGTAAACAAAATGGGTCAGGTTTCCCACTTGGCTGAACATTTTTCAAACTCTCGAGCAACGTCAACAGATACTTCTCAGGCTCATCGACGAACGGTCCCAATCTTTCGTGAATATCGCCTTGCGATTCGTGTACTACCAGAGCACCAAACAATCCTGCATCTCTTTGATATCTCATATGAGAATGGTACCAATGTGTGCCTTGAGGAAATGCTCGGAAGATATACCTATAGTTATATATGCAGATGATGGTATCAGAAAATCTTATCGTAAGTGTATAACAATATCGTAAGTGTTTCTGAATCAATATTGTGCATTTCATTGCTGTATTGAAAGAAAATTAGACTTCAATGGTAGCTCAAAGGAGGTTGTTGTGTTCTGTAAGTACATGCTCTATAGTCCTTGGACATATACTTTTGCTTCTCGTCTTTCTATAATTGTCAAACTTTATTTACCTGAACTTTCCATTGGCTGGTATTGGGTACTGGGTAATATTTCCCACACCATCGATCCAGGGAACATTGTGCTGATGCATCCCGTGAAAGTGCATAGAAGTGTCTTCATCCATATCATTAAAAACATCAACGACAACAATTCCTTTTTCCTCTGCGATAATTGTTGGACCTTGAAACGTACCGTTTACAAAATAGGTGTAGTTATTAGCTTCAGTGGGATCAATCTTTCTTTTTCGAGTGATGATTAACTTGATATAACATGGGTCTATGTTTCTGCAGTTACAGGCTGCTGGTCTTCCATGTACTGGTCTGCATGTTACGTATTTTGGAATAGCTTCATTGAAGCATTTTTCGGGCGGTGGATCAGTTTGTGCCACGCTGGCTTCAAGGATCAGAAGAAGCAGAAAAAACCTCATACCTAGTAAAAATGAGAAATACACACGAATTGTAACATAATTTTCAACACATGATATGTCCATATGGGAAAACCTATAATAAGTGGGTCTTTTCTGTCTAATATTAGTGATCACTTTCCAGTACGGGAAACAGTCGCAAAACTTGTGAACTTGTAGGAAAACGTTCTATAAAATTTAAAATGGGGTAATCGAATTACATAACAATATTAATGGCATGCAAAGACGACATATTTATCCGACAATTTCTGACTGTCAGAATGCTGGTTAAATTGCATCCCCGGCTTTAGCAAGAGATCGCAGTCTATTGTATATGCCTTTCAAGTGTATTTGCTATTCTTTTAATTTCATATTATATTTCTTCACATTTCATACATTTCTAAGTCGTGTACTCATTTTTCCCCAAGGCTTTATTTTTCACTATGTTTAGATGTAAACTAAAGGCGTAGGCATAGAAAAGTAGTTTTAACATTCGGAAAGGCAGCTTCGTTCAAGATTAGAATCACCCAAATGCAAACTGACGTATTTTGAAAATAAGTAAAACCATTAAAGCAAGTTATCAAAAGAATTAGCCTTTCTCGCGATGACGAATATGCCGCCATTTTTGGGGTACTTTTTTCAAAAACTGTGAGCATAAGACTTGGTAACGGCGACTGTCTTTAATTTTAGGCTGAATTTATTCTTTAAATGGTCTGTTTATTTTAAAAAAATTGCCTTTGATGTTTAAACATAATTTTTAAACCTATTTCAGAAAGTTGAAAGTACCCCAAAACGTCGATCGTGAGAAAGGCTAATTGATTCCCTGGCGTTGAAAGAATTCATCAGGGGGAAAAACTTGGGTAATTTAATTCAACTTGAAAGCTTTTCGAAATGCCGTAAAGCGATTGATACAGTTAAACAAACGTCCCACTTACTATCCAAAAGGGAAATGGCCATATTTGGTCTTTGTCGTAGTTGCGATTAAGAATTTTTACGCATCAAACATAAAGTATATACATTGGAAAAGCCCCCCGCCCATTTATTCCCCACGCCACTGAATTCAATAATTCAGAAAGTGATATCTGTGGCATTTCGTTTTTTGTCACCCTGTTATCTCCCTGATATATAACCGTACTTTCAGTATTGAATTACATAGCTATTTTATTGGCTGGCAATTACGATGGCAAAAGGTAAACATGCGAGTGTATGATTGGTCAACAGCGAAATCCTCCCTTGTATAATAGAAACATCTTTGTTAGCTATCAACTTCCCTTATGTTTATTATTGGGTGTGTATTGGGTGTTGATCTCAACAGCAGATTAGAATAGAACTCCTTATGTTCTCCAGAAAACGATCTTCAAATACTTCAATCCGTGCACGAACATCCTGTCAGGATGTGTTAATATACAGCTGTTTAGAGGTTTTAATATTACTAAAAATATCGTTAAACTTGCTCACGAAAATCATTGATTATATCATTCATGATTAGAACCCTATAGAAAGTCCCTAGCCATATAAGAGCTATATTCCTGTTGTCGCTTGTATCCAGCCCATTTAGCTTAAACAGTGCATAGGTAAAAATTAGATAACACTCTTACATCTCTCTGGAATGAGTCAACCTGAATATTATGCACTGAATATGTAGTTGTAGACAGTATCTTCGTTTTTAGGTGAAAAACATTTAGTTCGCTTGTTGAATAAAACGTTAGACTTGCTTTTGCTTTTAAACTTATCCACCCTTTAAGCTAAACGGGCTTGATACACAAAAGTAGACAAAAAGTTAATTAACTCACTGCAATTTACTGCTTCTGTTATAGTTTTTGCTTCTTTCTTGAATATGAACTCTCCTTGAACTCTGCAACTTGCAAAACTAACGTCCAACGACAATATTAAAATGCACAACCTGTAGTTGTTGCCGATGTAATTGTGTTTTGTGCAAGACTGAAGTGTGTATATTGAAGCATAACAGTACGCCTACGTATAGCCACTTGTAACGGCACATGCGTACTGAAAAAAAGGAAGTTTTCAGTTGACAGTGTTTACCATTATTATTCGCAGTAATGGGTTTTCTGCATGCTACGAATATTCGCTTTGAGTATGTTATTGATCTTTATCACAAAAAAATGATTTAAATGTCCGTCAAGAATGTATATTAACTTCTAGGTCATAATTATATCAGCAATTCCACCGAATTATATGTAATTGGTATTTTTGCACAAATGAATATAACAAATCTTTGCTGTTCTATTAATATACAATCTTCGTGGATTGGTCCAAATGTACTCACACGATTGGCCAAAATCAATCACATGGTTTCTTGTTGCCTGACGACAGATCATGGGAATCATAACATATAACAAAACCGAAATTACAAAAAGATAAGCGAACGTACATGAAGTGAAGTTCTTTTGCCAAATCAGTTGTGCAAAAATCCTAAAATCATGAAAATCATGGTTTATTGAAAAATGACAGCCTGCAACGAAGCTTCTTCAATGCAGGAATGAATGAACTCAAATTGTATATTAAAAGTGTTAGAAACGTTATGTTCATGTTTTGTTTACAAATAAACCTACTTGCTGACCATACAATGAACTCAATATTGCCGATATTGAAAATGCTTTTTAAAAAAACGTATTGTTTGAACTGTGAAGACGACTGTGAACAATTATTTATAAGCTTTACATACAATTATTTATAAGTCTACCACTAAGACACATCCCAAAAAAACTATAATGCGTGCGTTTTACCAAATTTAACGCAAGAGTGCCACACAGCCAGAACACGATTTGGCAATGCAGCACGATTTTTCAATGAAGCTTCTAGCGACGGCTCTGTCAGCGAAAGCGTCTGCTTTTCTTGGACATCATACAGCGATAATTGCGGGAAAGACGTCATTGACTTCCTAGCTGCTTAAGAGCGTACTTACATTATACAAAACGGACGTAAAGGTCTAATGCAAATATCAGCTTTTGAAGCCATTAATTAATGTTTGTTATTGCTTATTTTATATACTATTGCTTCAGCTTCAACAACTGAAGATAGAATTCTAGCTTGCGCGCCTCATTGTGCCGGGTTGGCATAATAAGACTGGGGGCTTGTATGTGTAAGTCCTACTTGCATTGTACTTTTGAGAATACTCAATTTTCCGATCAGTATTGCATTATTGCTATAGCATGTAGGTGTTTCAAAAAATTAAATGTTTCCGTTGCAATTTTGTATAGTTATAGCATACGTATCCTTGTTTTCAACAGGATATTTGGAGCAGAAGTATATTAAGACTTAACATCAGTTAATGCAGGATTATGCAAAATGTCATCTTAAAATAAACATCTTATATACATGCAGGAAGTGGGCCTCTATGCATTCAAGAGATCCTGTAGTGTTTTACGTACATATACCCTGAGAAAAAGGCAATATAATGTATATCAGTATATATATATATATATATATATATATATATATATATATATATATATATATATATATATATATATACTGATATACTTTATTGCCTTTTTCTAAAGGTATATGTACGTAAAACACTATAGGATCTCACTATTAGTCTCGTATAGGATTCAAGTATCTGTCAATTGCCAATTTGCTGATTGAAAAAAATCCCTGGATTCCATATTCTTGCTGCCTGGCTGAAATGTTTGTTCCCGAGCAACACTTTGCAAATGCATATAAAAAGTAAAGTTTTACACATATATTACTTTGATTAGTGTTTTGCGTCGGTAATTCTTGAAGTAGCTGACGAAGTGTTAATGTGTTATACATGGGCCCAGTTTGAAAAAACCCCAACTCCAATGACAATGTTTGTCCTCTTGGACACGTACCGAATAAAATTCTGTTTCGTGCAAGACTACAGTATAGCGTGCGTCTTTCAGGCTTTAAAATCACCTAAGCATGCGTAGCCACTTATAACGAGACATGCGCACTCACAAAAGGAAGTTTTTAACAAAGTATTTTTGACGGTGGCTATATATAAATACGATGGGTCATTAGAAAGAAACACTGAAATAATTACCTATACGACCTGACCTAAAAGAGTTTTAGACGTCGCGCACGTTTACAGCAACCAATTTCTTGAATTCCCGTCCTGTGTGAATGACGCAACGAATGTCCTTAAAAATAAACCCCACACCATTATTTTGAGACTTTTTATGGACTTGAATGGATTTGAATGCATCATATATAATATTATATATTGCATCATACATGAATATACACATCTTATACATATATACAACGTATACATACGTATACACACATACATATTTATTTATTTAACTTTGCCAATACAAATGACAGGACGTCGAACAGGCGTCTGGACAAAACAAGGACAAAAATGGCAGGGACACCACAACAGTGAAAACCAATTACTGTGGACCCTTAAAATGGCAAGAAAGGTATACAAAGCTATTTACACATAAAGAACTACAAATTTGTTTCGAAAGCACTCTGGCGAGTGCTCTCTCGTCAGGTCTATATTGTGCCAGCTACCTTCGGTTTTATTTATGTATACATGACCTGCCTGGCCTGAAGCCAGCTTGCTGATCCCGGAGGGTGCGATCTACTGGTCCATTCAACCTTTCCAAGATGATTGTATAATATATAGTAATATGAGAACAACTTAATGCTATGCAAATTTAAAGTAAGTATAAAAATGAAAAGTAGGCTGAATATATAACTATTGCTATATAGGTAAAAATTTAATCGCGGTTGACCCAATATTTAATTATTTAAGCGGCAGGTAGAAGTCGCGATTTTCTTTTTGAGACACCCTTTATAGCCATATATAATATGAAATACAAAATATGAAATAGAAAAATTCGCACAAATTGTTAGGAAATATTTCTTCACATTTCCACATGTCTTCCCATGTCATATAACAAAAATAGAAAAGACCTTCAGTCAAATGTTAACTTAGAACTACATAGTAAACAGAGACATACAGAATTACACTAAGTATTTGTCAACTCACATCAATCATAACGTTATTGAAATTAAAACGGCAATGCCTTGATCGATAATGGATGAAAATTCTTACCGTGACAGTGCATTAGTTAATTATGTTGCAATAATTATACAATATATATCCATACAAGGACGTAACTAGAACGATAATTGGAGGTGTATATTCATATACTCAGTTCAGTTCGACGGATTTCTATTATCAACTATTGCACTTACAAAAGAAATCCGTCGGGCAATAATTGAAAATACACCCTCCCCCCAACTATTGTTCTAGTTACGCCACTCACTGTATCGATATTTTGCCTGGTTTTCATATATTGAAATTCATCGGCGACGACAATTGTATGTGACCGTAGTCATTGATACATAAACAGATTTGTCTATTGAAAGAAACTATCTATTTCAATTCATCACCGACATTGGATCGTAGAACATCGCCGATGAATTACTACGTATGATAACTTCTAAAATACCTTGTTTTTAGATCATTAACACTTGTACTCTTAAGAAATGATAGGTGGGTATAGTTCTTGCCATTTATATAGCGATGCTGTTTGGAACTCGACCAGGCAGAAGCCATGTATAAGGACTGATCATACCACTGTTTCTCTCGTGAATCTTTTGCGTAATTTTGTCAAGCTCACTTTGGAATTTCGCAATGGCAGCCTGTGCCGAGGCATCACCAAACAAACTGTCAGAGAAGTCGCCAAGAAATTTCTAAATGGAGAAAATTAGCCACTTTTAACTATTAATTATGAGGCTTATTTAAAACCAGTTTAAATTTAGCGTTTATGCATGCTTTGTTGCCTTAAAGGTGTTTTCACGCCGTCAAGAGCCCAAGGGCACCAAATATCGTACACCGGATACCAGTCTAAGATTGTCTAAGATTACGTGTAAAATTGGATTTTTGTTGCCTTTGAAAAGACCTTTGTTATTTATCGCATTATCATGTTTTAATAGCTACAAAAGATATATTGTACAATATTAACCTCTGTGGGATAAATCGTAGTTAAGGCATTCACAACGGAAACCACCACACCCGCTTGGTGTTTATTTGCCAATGAGGACATGATCATATTCATGTCGACCTTTCCTTTTGTGGTAGGCGGTGGTTGTCTCATCAAACTTGGAGAATTGGGATGGAAACCGTAAGTTGCCATTTGCGAAAAATTAACAGCAGCATGTTGACAAGAGCAGGTAAATATTATGATACATAGAAAATGGATCAGCTCTCCACGCTTGCTGAAAGATTTTGGGACTTTCTTATCAACATTAGTACTTCCAAAACGGTATCCGTTCTCATGAAGATCACGAATCCTGTCTTGAATCTCGTTATCCTAAGGAAACATAGCTCTGGTGAATTTTCCTCTTTAAATATATTCGCGAATGTGACCAGAGCTCTGAAGCCACACATACACACATAGCTATATATTATTACACAAACTAAGAATTTTTCTGTTTTGGTAAGTCAGACGCCCGAATTGCAATGTTTACCTTTTTAACAGATTTATCATCTTGGTAGTAAATATATATGACATCTTGTACAAATTGATGGATGGCATCCCAAAGAAGTAAAGCATCGTTTTTGTAGTGAAACTTCCTAAGATCTTTAACACCCCGTTCAGTGAGGTTCTTCTTTAGATCATAACTTTCAAATGTAATGCTTCTGTAGTGCTTCTGCATCAAAGCAATATGACCACCACCTCCTATACTCAGCACTTTATCTGCGATGCCTCCTGGTGAGATCAACTTGTTTCGCCCAAGCGTATTGATGGCCATAATACCCTTCGTGTGGGGGTACAAAAGTTTCCATATCGGATGAACAGAGGGCAAATTTCGCCAAGAAGACACAGCAGTTGGTTCCATCATTAAGTGACACCGAAGAAGATGTGTAATCATCTGTAGTTGTGAAATTGAATTAGCTATATTTTATTCGTTTGGCCTATATTTTGGCATGAGGTAGGTTATCCTAACATTTGATCCGGGAACAAGTACACTAAGGAGTGATGGCAGTGGGCGTATTTGAGTACGTGACAGCTGCATAAAAGAGAAAAATCTGATATAAGATAATAGGGACCTTAAGATACACCAAGTTGTGGACGTGAAGTAATACTGTTTTCAGAGCAGTAGGTAAAACTAATTAAAATTGGGTTTCAAACACTACCGGCTGACTTCATGTCACGTTCGCGTCGTAGATTTGGTGCATCTTAATTAAGGTCCCTAATTAATGCAGTAGGTATATAGAGATTACTTCATGGTTGGCATGTGCGTACGATTTTTATGCACGAGTTGTGAAGGATCGCAAAACAAACGAGCACGTTTGCAATTCTTCACAACGAGTTCATAATAAAAATCGTACAAACGAGCCAACAATAAAGAAATTTGGTTATTAAATGTTTATAGAGATCAATTTGACAACGACACGCTTTTCATATACAAAAACACAGTGAGCAACAAAAATCGAAATTTTATGCATCAAAACATATTTATTACCGTTCAGTTTCATTGTAATTTTGTTCAATTGAAGTTAGATATTCTTTCCGAAAGATTTGAGAATGTGCTGAACGTAAAAATCTCTTGAATATGAGAATTATGTTTTGAATCTCACTCCTATATTTCGACACCATCTTGAAAGATGTAAACAAATTGCTCCCAAAATGACATACGACAATTTTTCACGTGTGAAGAATATAGTACGTCCAATCAAAAGCCGTGTATGGCATTTTTTCACACGTGATAAACATCGTACGTCCAATCAAATTGCATGAAATTAATTTACACAGTGAAATACGATTTTTATTTCATCATTCTGCTGTGCATAAATCTCTGTACACATATAATAAACACCAATTTGTTGCCACAACAATCAAGACACAGTCTATCGGGGTGTCGTGAATGAGCAACCTCAAAGGTTCAAAACATAGCAATCTAAATGGTAATCTAACCTGATGATACTGTGTGTCGGCACATCGAAGCCACAGTTTTGCCATAATCCAATCCCACTCAGAATCTTGCTGTGGTGTCCAAATTGGATTGTCTTTTCCAGGTTGCTGTCCCAGTTGAATGGCAATAGGCACCATATCATCGTTATTTCTCAGATAGAAAAGCCCCATAGCTGCGGTTATGTAGCGTTTATCTTTTGGTTTGTTCATTGTGCTGATGCCTTCAAGAATTTCGTAGTCAACGATGAAAATCAGGCCTTGCTATGATGGCAAAAATTGATAATGTTTATTGGTTCCTGGCCATGTATAATTTCCGTTTTGTAGTTTCCAGTAATATCACAGATGCATGCTTCTTGCGGGGTAAATCTTGTCGTCTGTAAAGCAAACAACATCTGACACGTTACAAAACAGACTATGCTAGTTACCTTGATAGCTTTCTTCAAATCATAACCCCGATCCAGGAGATTGTTGACCATTTCATTTTTTACAGGAAAATTTAGAGGCAGCTTTTCACATTTTCTGATCACTTCTGGGTTTGAGGCATTTAAGAATTGTGACCCGAACCAGACGTCATCTCTCCAATACTCCGCAGCATCTGGAAGAGGGGTCTGAATGGCTGGAGTGATGAGGCTTCTAAAATCATCAAGGCTATCCCAGGAATCCAAAAGCTCAAACAGGCGGCTCAACCCAATGTTCGTAAATTCCGCCAAGCCAACACTGAAAAGAGATAGCGTGGCTTCCTCGGTGAACTGCACGTCCTTGGGTAGCGACGATGGGTCTTTAGCATCGATGTATCCAGGAAGATCCTGAGTGCCTGAGCTCCACTTGTACAACTCCCTGTTTCCACTTACTTCTTTTTTACGTTGTTCTGCCAAAACTGTTACATTCTCCTTTGAATTAGGTAATATCGCTGAAAGATATCATAGTATATGGGAGCAAAATTAACAAGGCATTTCCATACATACAAGTAATTGGTAATCAAACAAGCAGATTTCTTAAGTCCGTATGTAACTTCTATCCTTTAAAAATACGTCTGATTATCTTATTGTTTTGGATTATCTTTTTTCTATTTAGGTTCGGTACGCTTCTATACATGGATATGGGATAGAGTTTATGTTTTGAAAAAGTCGAAAGGTGCGAAATCAGAGAACAGCAGCGGGCATTGTTATGAATAGAGCTGATGGACAGAACGGACTTAACTTCCACTTTAAGTTCTCGTGTTGAATATAATAACAATAAAACTTGCAATATCGAAGGCCTAATTCCAATAGGTTTTTTTTCCACTTGGCTGCATGGATGTGTAGAAATATCTTAAATGAAAAATTGTACAAAAACGGTGTAGATCCCTGTTAATTATATTGGCAACCTACGACGGATATGATTTTAACGATCTTTAACGTTCTTTGACCATTTAATATTGTGTACCTTTTCCTTCGAAAACTACCATGTGTTTAATAATCCAGCGATAACAAGGGAATGTATACTTGCTGCTTTCATCATTAGCCTTCTCTATGACGATTTTAGCCATATACCAATCATTCTTTAGGAGTAAATCATGCTTACTTAAAGAGATCATTGCAATATCACCAACGTCATCGCCTTCAACATCATACGTATTAGTTTCACCTTTCTTGAAATTGTTGTCGAAATATTTGTGCAATGGAAATCTCTTTGTCTCTGCTCCATTTTTGCCTAAAAATTTATAAGGAATATTTTAACTTAAGATGCATGACGGCATAGTTCCGGGCAAACGTAACGGTTTAGAAGCTAAACAACAGAAATAACATTGAGTTTGTCAAATGCATATTATTTTTCAATTCTATATATAGAGAATTTTATATCCCTTATTATATATTACCTATAAGCTGAATTGAAACAGATGCGTGGGTGCCAGCACCAATCAGATCTCCAGTTTCGACCGTAACCTTGTATTTCATCGCTGATATACTAAAATACACAAAAGAGATGAACAATCAGTATTCTCCAGGGGCCGGTTTTATCAAGCCCGTTTAGCTTAAACGGCCGATAAGTCAAAATCAAATAACACTCTTACATTTTTCCTTGAATAAGTGAACTTGAATATTATGCACTGAATATGTAGTTGTAAACAGTATCTTTGTATTAAGATTAAAAACGTTTTGTTCGCTTGTTGAATAAAACGGCAGACTTGCTTTCTATTTTGAACTTATCCACAGGATACTGAAAAAGTGTCAATTCTTTACTGACATTATATATCTTGTGTTATAAAGAGTTAGGTATAAAGAATATATTTAATGTGATCTTTTCAATAGATTAATGCCTTACATGTCTATATTCTACATTTCTACGTTCGCTCTGTTCTCAAGCCAGTTTCATCAGTTCTCTGCTATTTTCGCGCCTCTACGTCCTAATACTTCATGTCATTTTACCATAACTAATATTACTCTAACACTCCTCCCTTCCAGACTATCCAATATCAACACAACACTAAATACTTATCTTAAACTATTCAGAAGTTCAGAGTCCAATTTCTGCTTGTTCATTATCTAATGCTGTTCGCAAGTTAACTCGGCCAAATCCATACCGATCTGGTGCTCGTCTCTCTCTCTGTGTGGTCGGGCTGCAGCAGGTTCTGGATCTAGCTGAGGTCCAAGGACCTCTTCACCATCTATATCGAGTCTAAGTTCCTGAGACCCCATTGAGTTAGAATCTGAAGCTCTGTCATTCGTATCGTCGGAATCTGAACTCTCCTCGCTATCCGTAGACTGTAAACGTTGTGGCCTCTCGTAGTCCTTTTTCCGACGATGATTTACGACCTTTCTCCTTCCCCCTCGCGAAACAGGTTCCACTTCGTAGGAGGTATCTCCAATGTGTTTAACCACTATATAAGGGCCCTGAAAGCGTTCCCCGACTAATTTCTTGGCTGAGCCCTTTGGTTTCTTCGGATGGTAAATCCACACTCTCTCCCCACGGTTAAAGCGGTTAAAACGGACGTTTCGTGCTCATAGAAGTGACTCATGCTGACGTTTCTTAATAATTCGATTTCGAACTTTTGTATGTAACTGACCGAGGAAAGACAGTTTTTTTGAGAAATCCTTTGCTTCTTTTCCTTTGAGCTGGTTTAGTTTCTCAGTGCCAATCATATCAGCTTTATTTCTGCAGGTGAAACCAAATATCACAGAAAATGGCGTCTCTCCCGTCGTTGTGCTACTTGTTGTCCTAATTGCGGCCAATGCAATCGGCAGTTTTTCGTCCCAGTCCGTTTGGTCCTCGGCTTCAATTTCCATTGCTAAACGCTCTGCAATATTCCGATTCATCCGTTTTACCTGCCCATTGCACTGGGGATTGTACGGTGCGCTGCGACTTCGTCGGATATCTAGTCGGTTGTGTAGCTCTTTTAGTAATTCCGACTCAAAGTTCTTGCCTTGGTCGGAGTGTAGAACTTCTGGGATACCATATCGACAAACAATTTCTCGCAAAATTACATCAGCAGTGGTCTTCGCCGTTTGATCTGGTACTGGAAAAGCCTCTACCCACTTGCTGAGTGGATCGGTAAGGGAAAATATGAACCTATTTCCCCGTGGTGTCTTGCGTAAAGGGCCAACAAAGTCCATATGCCAACATTGAAAAGGTTGTTTAGGAATGGGCAGCTCTCCCACCGGTGGTCGGTCTGCTTTCTGCACCCCTTTTCTTTGAAGACAACTTTCACAGGAACGGCACCAATCCTGCACATCACGTTTCCAATTAAACCAAAAAAATCGGGTTCCAACATTATGTTGGGTCTTGGCGACACCAAAATGTCCTGCTTGGTCATGAAGGAGTTGTAGTATACGTGGTACCTCCGATTGCGGGATCATCGTTTGTACAATGTTCCGTCCATGACGTGCTGTTTTCAGAACTAGTACGTTGTTGACCAGGTTGATGTTCTTGCCATGTGTCTTGATAAAACTGTTAACATGACGTTTGATATTCTTTGGTTTCACCCGAGTAGCAACCCAGCGATAAATCACGCCAATATCTGCATCCTCCATCTGAAGCGCGCCCAATTCTCTATCTGTCCATACCCCGTCAATAGTTACCGCTTGAATGGGTGCACGACTTAACGCATCAGCAACAGTCATTAACGTTCCAGGACGGTGTTGAATGGTGAAATCGTAAATATCAAGGCAGACGCGCCATCTGGCTAGCTTTCCTCTAGGCTCTTTAAGTTGTCGCAAGTATGTTAATGGCTTATGATCCGTGATGACTGTAAAGTGTCTCCCTTCCAAATACATGTTAAATTGGTCTAAACTCCAAACGACAGCTAAACATTCCTTTTCTGTGGCGGAATAATTCTTTTCGACGGTAGTAAGTGTTCGGGATGCATAAGCGATTACTTTCTTATCTTGTGTAAGAACCGCACCCAGGCCAAGATCGCTAGCATCTGTCTCGACAGTGAATTCTTGCTTAAAGTCGGGATATACCAGAACTGGTGGAGATGTGAGCCGGCGTTTCAGAGTGCAAAATGCCATTTCACATGCTTCTGTCCAGGAGAATTTAACATTTGCTCGGATAAGTTCGTTTAACGGAGCGGCGATATCTGCAAAACGATCAATAAAACGTCGATAATATGAGGCAAGTCCAACAAACCGGCGAACTTCCTGGACAGTGGTAGGCCGTGGAAATTGCTGGATCGCTTTAGTCTTATTTGGGTCGGGTTTAATTCCCTCTGAACCGACCACAAACCCCAAATAATGAACTTCTGCACGAGCAAAAACACATTTCGATGGATTCAATTTCAAACCAGCCACTCTCAGCTTGTTGAAAACAAGCTGAAGGTGCACCAAATGCTCTTCGAAACTGCGCGAAAAAATGATGACGTCATCCAAATATAAGAAGTATTTGCCAATTAAGTTCGCCTAATACGGATGTCATCAACCTTTGGAACGTTGCTGGAGCCCCCTTAAGACCAAAAGGCATGGTGTTGAATTCAAATAGACCTTTGTGACAGGAGAAGGCAGTTTTCGCACGGTCCGCTTCCTTGACCGGGACTTGCCAATAGCCCTTGGCTAAATCAAGCGTAGTGAAGAGCTTGGCCCCCCCAGCGCATCCAAACTATCATCAATACGGGGAATGGGAAATGAATCTCCAACTGTGCTCTCATTCAATTGGCAAAAGTCAACACAAAATCGGGTTTTGCCGTCCTTTTTTCGCACCATTACGAGTGGGCTGGACCATGGGCTTTTGCTCGGTCTAATAACGCCTTTTGCAAGACTATCCTGCACGAAATCCTCTACATCAGCTAATTTATGAAATGGTACTCGCCTAGGTGGTTGGGAAATTGGGTGAGCTCCTTCGGTGGGTATTTCATGCTCAACAACATCGGTCAAACCTGTCTCACCGTCAATAGAAAGGACATCCCCATTCTTCTGAATCATTTTGTAAAGTCGTCGTTTCTCGCTGGCTGATAATTGTGACTCATCTGACTTTGCTCGAGCCAGTTTATCAACCTTTTGTGCCCTGTCCGCTTTATCTGCTTTAGTAGACTTACCAGGATGTTTTGACAATTCACTAATGACAACAGGTTCCACAATGTTTGTTGTAAACTGTCCGAAAATTGTACCAGCATTTACCTGACGGGGAGTATTAGTAGGGTTTGTCACATGCAGCAGAACACGATTACCCTCTCTTACTGCATCATAGACTCTACCACACCCTATTCCAAAGCGCTCTGACCTGTCCCCCCATGCAGATTCGATAAGACCCACAGTACCCGGTAATAGCTCACCGTCCAGTTTGCCCTCAATTACCTGCATTGACCTAGAGGGCACAGTCACTGTTGATGATGCGTATATACGACAAATTCGAGGCGAGGTTGTGTTACCACTGTCCTGGTTTGATAATTTATCATTGCCTGATACAAATACTTGTGAGCCGATTGACAAATGCATTTTTAAATGAGGCAATAAATCCATGCTAATAATTGCTAGGTAAGTTGACTTCTTAACCACTGTGAACCGGTGTTGAGGTATGTGCTGATCACCCGCTTGACAATCAGTGACTAAATCATAAACTGTTCCCATCCCAGAACCATCTACAGTATGGGGGGGCAAATTTGCAGTTCAATTTGCACCCTCTAGCTTGTGATGCTAAAGACTCTTGTAGTACACTTATTTGTGCCCCAGTGTCCACCAACCATGTGCAAGGTAGACCCCCAACTGTTCCCTTAATCTCTATGTTTTTAAAAGTTGAATCCTCTATGTTTGTAGCTGAAACCAAACGATTATAGTTTCCAGTCCTGCAAGTGGCTGGAGAGGGCTGGATATCCTCTCCAGCCCCTGTTAGTTTCCCGATGGCGGTGGGTTAGGGGATTTGCATTGCGAGGCTCGATGTCCAGCCTTTTGACATCGAAAGCATACCCCAGAGAATGGTTGGCTACTTCTCTGGCCATCCCGGGCAACCCAGGGTCTTGAACGACAATCACGAGCAAAATGCCCTACCTTCCCACAGTTAAAGCACTTGGTTGATGACCTTGTTGATCGCTGGCTCTGGTTTTTGCTCTGCATGGCAGCAACAGATGCTTCCAACTTTTGCTGACTAGTGGTTAGTTCTTCCAACTTTTGCATGATCTCCACCTCAGGACTTTCAACCGACTGAGGACTTCCCATTCTGCTAGTGGAAACAGCAGAAACTGTTGAGTTGGTTTGCTCGATTTTCGTTGCACGCTGTACTAGCTCATCAAGAGTCGCAGTGTCAGCCATAACCCATGACAATTTGTGGGCAATATCACCTTTCAACGCGTTGCGAAAGTGTGCCAGGGAAATAGAATCGTATGTGTTCTTATCTGTGACCTCTGGAAAAGCTTTCTTAACCAGTTGAAGTATTGAATACTTAAGTTCAACAGCAGACTCCCCCGGTTTTTGGCGACGGTCAGCCAGTTCCTTTTGCCAATCTGTAACAGTTTTCTTTGATTGAAACCGCTCTATCAA